GCTGAGTTTTGGCAGGGCACCTCCATCCCTGCTGTGGTCAGGCTTTGCCAGCTCAGCCACAGGAAGCAACATTGCAAGTCACCACCTAAAAATGTGGGTCAATGGCCACCGTTCCTGCTGGGCAGGAGGCCCTGGCAGCTGGGGCTGCCCACACACACCAGGCTGGCACTGCAGGGATGCCACAGCAGTGGGACAGAGCCTCAGCCCTGCAGCCTGGGCTTTCCCCAGCCCTGCGTCAGCAGCCTGGACCCTCCTCCCTGCTGGGCTCTGACATCACGAAAAACCTCCCCGCGGCTCATTATCAACATTAATATGCAAATACCCGATGTTTCCTGGGCAGGAAGGGTTGTGGGAAAACCAGGGAATGTGCAGAAGGAAGTTTGCACTCATAACTTTCGGCTGAAACGCTGAGCTGTGGCTGTAGGATCTGTTCCTAATCCCCTAACAGCATTGATAATCTGGATTAACCAAGGAATGGTGTGGTCATGCTTCTTACAGGCACCCAAATCAATCTCAGAAAGGCATAAGGAAATCACCTTAAAACACTACAAGCTTAAAACCATTTACCTCTAAGTGAGTATTAGAATATTGGGACCATATTCCCAAAAGTTCCTTTAAATCAAACATGTTTGGAATGGAAGGATTTTACTGGAGTTACAGAATGCTGAGTAACTGCTCAAACTAAGAGACAAGAGGGTTTGGAGGGTGCTTAGTTTAGGTTTTGGGTTTAAATGAGCTACCACTGCTTGCAGGACTATAGATTGTTATCCTTGTTATTTGCCATGCCTGGGAACAATTCTGGGTTTCACAGCTGCCTGTCCCGAGGGAATCTCTAATGAACAGTTAGCTCAGAATAAAAAGGTGAATGTTGACCAGTACCAAAATCATTGGAGTTATGCTCCCTGGTGGAATAAAAAGGGATTATCCTGAATCAGTTCCATTTCTTGCTCAGCTGAATGTTCAAATATGAGGCTTCATCTGTTTGCTGGGCACTTTGGCAAATGTGGGCACAGGGACAGAAACTTTTCCCACAGATATATAGCAATATTCTCTTATTTATGCATCAAATTCCTAATCCAAAAGCATTTCCTTCTCTAAGTAGGAGCCCAGATCCAAGGTGCAGTTTGCTGGTAACAGGATTTATCCAACAAGAGTGTTCTGACAGCAGGGAGCAACACCTTTCCTCTGAGCTCGCTGGGTGCATGAGAGACACAAATTCAATTAAGCTTCACAGCAACCCCAGTGAGGCAGGCAGGTGGGGATTAATTAGGAATTAATTAGTACAGAGAAGCCAAGTTCGAAAACAAATCTGTCAGTCACTTCTGCCCTGCCCTTGATACCAGGTTCTAGGATAAACAGGTTATTTGTAGGGTTATGTTAGAGCAGACCCCAAACCCAAAATGGGGTACTGGGAACAAAAACCTTGATGAAAATCCCAAGAATTGCCCAGCTCCTCTTGGGAGATGCAGAATTTCTTCCTCCCACCCTCTCATAGCAGTTCTCACTGCAGCATTTTCCCGAAGCCCAGAGCAAATCCAGGTCTCTGTCCAGGCCTGGCTTTGCTGTTGCAAAAAGCAAATCCCAGTTCTCAGTGCAGGTTTTCCATTGAAAGAGGCAAGATGGAAAAGGGAAGGACAATTCAGACCAATCTGAGGAGTGGAGAAGTGGAATGTGGATCCTATGTCATGCTCACAGGTTGAGTTTACAGCAAATCCTAAAAATAAACCCCAACTTCCAAGCTGCTGCCTTACCTAGGGAGCATTTCCTCTCTCTGTCTCCTGTTCTAGTCCTCATTTAATTTCCTTCTTTCCCCATGTTTGGATCACTACAGCATGAGCTGCTCTGGGTGGCCAAGGGACAGCCAGGGGTCTGGACATGGGTTATTTTCCCCTGTGTTTGGGTGCTGGATTCAGACCCACACGAACCCTGCTCTTGATGGAAGAGAAAAAACACAAGATATTCACAGGCAGGAGATTTATGGCAATTTTCACTCGACTTCCTCATGATTTGTGACTGTAGCTGTAAATTCTTTCCCTAAAGTCCCACATTTGGGAGACCCAGCCACCAGCACAGGCAGGAGAGGTGCCTGGTCAGAGCCAGGGAGTCCCTGCCCACAGGAACAACCCCTCAGTGGCACTGGAGGAACAGGGAGAAACCCCCAAATCCTGCAGTGCTGCTCCCAAGAGATCAGGGACAGAGCAGGAGGGGGAAGCTCAAGGTCTGGATCTCCATCAGCTGCCCCATGAGATGTCCCAGGAATGTCTGGGCTTGCTCTTGAGCCTTTCACACTCAGACAGGGCCCAGCATGTGTGAAATGAGACAGCAAAGCTCCTCAGAGCTGTCATCAGCAAACAAAAATCAGGGGATCTGGGAGGGTGATGCCAGGGTGAGCATCGTGCTGAATGTTTCAATGCAAGAAGTGGCAAGACATGGCCAGGACTCCACCAGGAGCTCACAGCAGACAGGAGAAAGCACCAGGAACACATTGATCATCTGCAGCAGGTCTTCCAAAGATCCCTGATCCTCAGGATTGTGGCCAAAAGCTGGGTGCTGTGTTCTGCCCCCACAGGACACCTGGCAGGTGCAAGGGGCCCGATCTTGCTTTTCCCATGGAAATACAAGACCCTGTGGGAGTCAGTGTCAAACCTGCTGTGCTCAGCTTGACATCCCAGAATGACAGAATCCCCTGAGCTGGAGGGACCCACCAGGATCATCCCCTGTCCCTGCCCAGACCCCCCAACAATCCCAGCCTGTCCATCCCTGGCAGCGCTGTCCAAACGCTCCTGGAGCTCTGGCAGCCTCGGGGCCGTGCCCATTCCCTGGGGAGCCTGGGCAGTGCCCAGCACCCTCTGGGGGAAGAACCTTGCCCTGAGCTCCAGCCTGAGCCTGCCCTGGCCCAGCTCCAGCCGTTCCCTGGCTCCTGTCCCTGTCCCAGAGCAGAGATCAGTGCCTGCCCCTCCTCTTCCTCTCATTTTTTGGGGAAATGGTGACTGTGATGAGTCTCCCCTCAGTGTTCTCTTCTCCAGCTCTCAGCTGCTCCTCACAGAGTTCCCCTCAGGGCCCTTCACCATCTTCATTGCCCTCCTTTGGACACTCTCTGATGGCTCAGCATCTTTATTACAATATTTTAATATCTTTTGTATCTTGTGGTGCCCCAGGCTGCTCCCAGCACAGCAGGTGAGGCCACGCTACCCCAAAGCACAACAATTGTGCCACAAAGGAAAGAGAAAGAGCTGCACAGGAAATGTTCACCAGCACTCAGTGCTGAAGGAGGATGATGAAACACTGATGCTATTCCAGCTGGGCTCCAGAAGTGTCTGCACCAGCAGCTGGGGAGGCTGGCAGGGGGCACAGCATCCTCCCAGGCTGCTGCTCCCATTGAGGGCAATTATAACCCCGAGGTGAGCCAGGCTGTGCCAGGCTCCTGCTGGCAGCAGGGCAGTGGGTGAGGAATGAGGTTGGCAGGGGCCTGGCTGTCCCTTTTTGGGAAGCAGAATTCCAGCCCATTCACCAGCTGTGAAACACCTCCCTGGCCACTTGTCAGCCTGACATTCATCTGTGGCTGATCCTGAAATCACACTGTGATTGTGTTTAAGCACTTGGATTTACACCCTGGCTCCTGTGCCCATTGCTGCTCACCCTGGCTCTGGGCTGGGACCATGGCCCATCCCAGCACCTCCCCAAAGTCCTCAGGGCCACTGTGGGATAAAGGCTCTGTGTAGTGATGCTCTCAGCCTGCCCTGCACCACATCCCAAGGGATCAGGGACAGATCCATGGGTGGAAACAGCCTGAGGGCATTTGAACTCTGGTGTGTTTTCAGCAGAGGCACCTTTGCTCTCTCCTGGTTTGGTCAGCCAGAGATGCCCAAAATGAACCTGCCCCTTCCTTGTGCTCCCTGCCATGGTGGCAGAATGTGCCTTGAACAGCTCAGGAAGTGCTGGGAACCACTTTGTCCTCAGCAGGGTTCCTGAAGCCTGGCACTTCCTCAGTGGCATCTCCTCAGTGTGGTCTTTAACCCCCATTTGGGTAAATTTGGGAGTCTAACCCCGACCTCAGGGAATGCTGATTATTATTTGCTGAGGACAGTGGCTCCTAACACAGGCAGGGCTATGGCAGCCTTTAACCCTTTACTTTCCTCTGACTTTCACTGCCCGTCCCAAAATCGAGGGCTTTTTGATAATGTTTTGTTGCTGCCTTCTGGCACCATCATCCACAAGGCTGCAGAATCCCACCCCACAGCAGAGAGCTGGCAACCAGTGGGTCCTTTCCTTTCTACCCAAAACTGTGACAGCAACCAGCTCAGGGTGACAACAATCCCCAAGGTCATGGGCTTTATTTTCCCCCTCAGTAACCATAGCCTGGCTTCAGTGCCTACTCTGTAGAAATCAAGCTTTAATATATGCAATAATTCCTTCATGAAAGAGGCAGAGGAGATCTGTACTCTGAGTGAGAGGAAGAATTTTGAGTGGTAAGATGAAAACACCTAGGAATTACTACAGAACTTGAAATGGGATTTAACTTAACAAGGCAAAGCAGAAAAGAAAAGTTACTTTTTGTTTAACTTGAAGAGGAATCAAACAAACCATCAGCCACAAACTTGCCTGAAGAGCAGAGGTAGAAATGCTCCATCCCTGGAAGTGTCCAAGGCCAGGCTGGACAGGGCTTGGAGCAGCCTGGGACAGTAAAAGGTGTCCTTGCCCACGGCAGGGGTGGAACAGGAGCTTTAAGGTCTTTTCCAACCCAAACCAGTCTGGGATTCTATGATTTTTTAATCAGAGCTAATCTGGATGTGGAGGAATCAGGACCCACCATCCAAACCTCCAGCTCTGAGCAAGACAGAGACTTTCTCCCCTTTGTGTAAAAAACCCTTCACCTGTTGCAGCCTTTACAAACCCCAACAGCTTTGGGGTGACACCCATGGAAAGCTTTGCCTTTAGAAATAATTCCTTTAGGGCAGGGTGTGAATAAAGCACCACACAGGGCCCCAGGGGACACTTACCCTGTTCTCCCACGAGGGCCAGGCCGTGGTGCAGCACTGGCAGAGCAGCAGGAGCTCCTTCAGACTCCCCAGGCAAGGAGGGATGGGCAGGAGGAGCTCTGGGGCCCCTGGCTGTGCAGTGGATGGGAGATTTCAGCACTGAAACCCCAGCAGCTGGATTACCAAAACAGCTGGGTTTTGCTCAAAATCCCCCGAAAGCAGGAGCCTCTGGGCCTGGAGATGCCGTGGGTTGAGCCCAGTTGAGGATGGAGGTGAAGGGGTTTGCTCTCAGCAGGGTCCAGCCACAGCAGGAGCCATGGAGGGGAGCAGAGCTCAGCAGGGCTGGGCTGACATCACCTCCCAAACTGCAGCAGGGCCAGGTGAGCTGGGCAGTCAGGGCTGCCAGGTACTGCAGACACCCAAAAACGTGAGCAGCTGTGAGCTCGAGGGCAGAATTTGACACCAACAGGGGGTTGCAGCTCCCTGGCTTGACCTCAGCTGCAGCACTAAATCCAGCAGGTGTGGGTGAGGTCTGGCTCAGTACAAGCTGCAGAGGGGTGGGCATGCAGAGATTTGTCTCCAGGTCACACCAAATGCTCCAAACAAGCCCCAGATGGTAGGTCAGAAAATGGGAACTTCTGAAAATGTCTTCCTAGGCAAAAGGAAATCCCAAGACGGCTTTGCTGAGATGTTCAGAAGATGATCTCCAGTGTGTGGACTCCAGCAGATCCTGTGAAACTGCCTCCACCTTCACTGACACCAACTCTTTGCTCTGCAAGGCAGGACACATCCACAGCTGAGGTTAAAAGCCCAGAGAGTGAAATCCCCATGCTCCATCCCAATGAACTCCTTGGGAGCTGATGGAAACAGTTCCTACAGGAAGGTTAATCCATGGATGGTCCAAACCTGATGATTTAAAGCCTCCCTGAGCTCTCCTGTGAGCAGCTCCAGGGTGACTGGGGCTTTCACTGACTCACTGTGAAAGGGCTGCAAACTGAAATTCAAGCTAAAAAGGAAGTTTATGACAAAAGTGGTTTAGGGTGCAGCCCACAGAGTCTATTTCGAGCAGAGCCAACAGCCCCCACAGCCTCGTGCCCCAGCTGAAGCCACAAGAGGTGACTTCCCCCTGCTCCCCTCAGGGAGCATCCATAAAGTGCTGCTTCTTGGGGGTTTTGGGATATTTTGGGGTATGTGTCTTCTTTTAGACCAAATAGCCCAGCTCAGTGCAGTGGCTGTGCTGGTTTTGGGTCAGAGGCACTGCTGGCTCATGAGAGGGATTCTTGGGAATTCCTGTCCAGAGGCGTTGCTTATTGTCTTGGTTTGAAAGCCAGGTGTCTGCCAAGGAAGGCAGGAGCCTCTTTTTTTTTTTTTTTTAATGGAGAATGTAAACCTCCTCCCTCCAAATTATTATAATTTTTATATTAAGGGGCTCTCAGGCAAAGATAT